TTGAAATCAGCTGAATATGAAAAATATGAAAAAAATAAATTTATGGCTTGAATATTCATTTGAAATTCTCTTTCTTCTCGTTTCCAAGAATTTTTAGCAATTTCATCAAATTACCACTTTTTATATAATTTCAAATGTCACATAGAAAAAAGTTTGCATGTCAAAATAAAATTATATAATCAAAATACGAAGAATTCAGACTAGTTTGAATTGAAAAAAATTGCTCCTAAATTACAGGAAAGGTTAATATAAATAAGTAAAAAAGTCATCTTAATCATTCGACAAGTGCGCGAATATTTGTTGTATTTACACCAAAGAAGCATGAGGTTAGGTCAATTCTGCTGGTTATCAGTATGATTAAAAATTTTTAAATTTTTTCTTCGCCAGAGAGTCACTCACTTAGCGGTAGAAATATAAATGACTCGTCATCACCACTCTAAATTTTTAATCATTAAGCTTGACCTTAACATGGAATCGAATCTCTAATGTTCGAGCATCGTGCCACCTAGTCATCAGCATCACCAATAATCATCAATAATTATCTACTTGAGTTGGTGCATCAAGGCTAAGGCTATTTTTAAAAAGCTTTTCACAGAAGTTTGTCGATGAACTTTGAAAATAATGAAATAATCTTCCTATTCTTATAACAGTACTTATCGTGCTAGAGGCACAGATGGATCTCTGGCGTCACCGAAATGGAATTGTCGAAAAATTTGAGATTGAAAATAAAAGTTTAGGAGAAAATCAATTTGTTTGGATATTCATTCCTAATCCCAAAATATTCTACTGTGATTATCGGATGTCCGTGGCTAATATTTTATCATATTGCAATTCTCCTTTTATTAAAATTTGTACGAGGAATTTTAAAATTTTTATTAAATTTCTTTTCATTCCTATAATGGTTCGCAATGTTTAATCAGTTGTATTATGGCGATAAATGTTTTGTATTGAAGAATTTTAAAAGAATAAAATTTTACGACATTTCAGAAAAATTTTTCAAGAAGAAAAAATTCTTGAGTCAGTCATGAGTAACAATAAAATAGTAAAAGAAATGTGATAAGCAAGTGGATAGAAATTCAGATAATCGTGTGAGCCACTTATATTTCTATGTCAAAGTGACCCTCTGGCCAATTTCTAATGATAGTACTAGCAGCTAATAGGAGTTAGTAGCCTAACCAGAAATGGTGCGTATTAGCCACTAACTTTTTTTATTCAAAAGAATGGCAAAATTTGCTTAAACTTTAAAAATTTAAAAAACATGAGAATCTGTGAGAGAAAAAAATATTTTTTGTTTATAAACGAAATAAACTAATTAATTTAAATTAAAATTTAATTAAATTAGTATTGCATCAGTAATTTTTTTTTTTGGCCAAATCATTTTAATTTATTAATGGACATTCACATTTTTTCGCATTTTGAATTAATAGTTTTTAAATACGCCATTTGCAAACATTTTTGCCATAATAAGTTTTTTTTATCATCTATTTAATTTTATACGGTAATCGCATTTTTATTTATTTTAACAGTGCTCATTCTTTTTGGCCATATTCAACCATTCCTTTTGTGATGTAAATTCACCTCCATCAAATTTTTTTCATAAATATTTTTAAGTAAGTGTTAAATAAATTCGAAAATTTTTCTTTCGAAATCCATGCTTTGATTCATACGATCGCTTTGATAAAAATATTGAGATGAGCGCTTATTTGCTGAAGTATGTTGTTTGACTATCGCCTCCACGCTTCAGAACTGGGTTTCTGCAGCAGGAATGAACATGTTATTTAGAAAATACTGTGGTCCGGTGTGCTGGTCAGCCACCCGTACTTCTATCGCTAAATAAGCAAAAATTCTCGTCTTATTAACAGCAGAATGATTCTAATCAGAAATACTTTCCTGTTTATTGAAAGGATATGTAAAGATATTGAAAGGATTTTTCTAGAAATTTGGAAGATTTCCTTCATTATTTCATTGGTTATAATTCATAACTTAAAAATTTCTTCAACTCTTTTTTTCATTTCGATTATTTGGCAATTTGACAACAAAATACTGAACTTTAACTGAAATGAAAAATTCCTTTTATAATGATTTTGTTGAACCATTTTCATTGGTTAAATCATTGGCAATAAATATTCTTAAATGAGGAGCTCAAAACTTTTGGAACACAGGTTTTTTAGGATCAGAAAATGGTTACCCATATTGCCTTGTCTCTTATTTTTTCCACCATTTCTGATTAGGTTAGCTCCATTGGCTTTTTAATGCAATTAAAAATTTTTGCTAGGAGTGGCTGGAAGTAGAGTTGAGTCGCCTGTCGGTTTTTTATAGTTCTACTCTTATCACAGATAAGAACTGAAACCTTATCTGAGCCACTATTCACTCAACTACTACTTTTTTCATTGTTTTCATCAGTTTCATTTCATCTATAAAGTCAACGATTCGAATTTAATTGGACAAGAAACGAGGTTCCCCGTTTCGTACAATGAATAATTATTTTAAAGGCGGACTTCTTGTCTTTTTATGGATTAATATGAGAGAATAAATAATTCACTGGAATTAATAGCACTATTATTTGTTATTTTTGTTCCTTAAACTGTTAATAAACAGTTATCATCAAAGTTTGTTAAAAGACATTTCTTCAATCAAACAAAAATTCGATTCAATTTGAAATACGACGAGGACGACGACAACTTGTTTCATCTCTTTTAAAATCTTTAATATTTTTACATAAAATAGGAGAATCATCGCAATAATTTTCTGAAATGAAATTCGAAAATTTGAAATTTGAATTTGAAAATTTCTGAAAATTCTAAAAATCAAACTTTAAATAGGAAAAAATCTAAATTCTATTTTATTTTGAAGTTAGCGATTAGAAGTTAAAACATTTTGATTATTGTAGAGAGTTAGACGAACGGCTAACAAATATTTTTGTGACATCGTTTGCTTTAGAAATTTTTGGAAAACAGTAATTTGATTTATAGAAATCGACTTAAAATATAAAAATAATAATAATAATAAATATTTAGCGTTGAAATGATTCTTAGCCTCCATAGAACATAATTTTTAGGCAATCAATAGAAAGAAGTACGTAGCAGAAAATGTTGAAACTTTTACGCAATTTCTTTCAAGGAATTTTTTATTTATTGCCCTTCCTCTTTTTCTAATAACATTTCTGGCTCGACTGGCTTGTTCAATCGACTATTAGGACGATAAACTTTGGCCACAGATCCATTTGAAGAGAAATGCGAGTGGTATAATCTAGATTTCATTTTTCAACTTATTCTTAGCGAGATACGCCAATAGAACCTATGATAGTTTCAACAAATACCGTTTGAACATCCAGTACCACTGTCATACATGAAGAACAGAATGTTTTCTCCTAATCCAGCACAGAATTGAATTTAAAATTAGCGAATTGAACCAAATGGTTAAAAAAAATGCTAAAACTTCTGACTGATAAAAAGAATTTTGATGAATATTTCATGAATTATTTAAATTAAGCACCAAACATATTGCTAAAAATCTATTGAAAAATCATAAATTTGTAGGACGTTTCTGATAAATTATCGAAATCTTAAGGGGTTCATAGATAAACTTTGAAGATTTCTGTCAATACGGACAAAAAAAATTCACATCTTCATTTCCAATATTCTCTAATTGAAATTTAGCGTTTCTTCATGAATACAAATCATAGTGGAGTATTTTAACATCTCAAATCACACTATTATTTATTCCATAATGGCATCCATGAAAAGCTTTTTTTGTGCACGTATGATCTGTTACCTGCCAAATCTATTAAATAAATAGATTTTGATCAAAACTCGGCCGATAAGTTTTGACTCTCCACTTTTTTCTCTATCTTTGACAACTGACAATGAAATAGTTGTCCAAGTTTACTGCGCGCATCACGATAATCTTAAATGCGTTTTAAATTAATCTGATTTTCTCGAATGCTAAAAATCTAATTGAAGAGCGATACAAACGCAAAATTATAAATAAATATTGCAGTCATCATGCTGAAAAATTCTCTTCTACAAATATTAATTTGATAAACTATTTGCTTATTTATCTATTTGTTGTTTTTTATAAATTTAATCCACTATATGGCATTAACCATTCGCTTGCACATTCATAATAAGAATCATTACGTATTTACCGCATTTCGTCCGATTGCTGTTTGCGTTATATCACTGGATTTTCAGATTGCTTGAGATATGATCAATGATGATAAAAAATTCGGGCAAAAACAAAGGTTTACTTCTTTAAACACTTTTTTGCCGTAATTTTTGTTTTAATATATTATTTAATATAATTGAAATGTTCGATGCGAAGTGTGGTATAAAGGCCATTTATAGAATTTTAATCAAATAATAACAAATAAATCTCCATTTGCTATTCTTGACAATTAGAAAATAATAAAGAAAATTAAGATAATGATAAACAAGATTAAATCAATAGATATTAATTGAATTTTTTGCAACGATAGGTATCAATTCGATATCAATTCGTTCGTTTTCAGCGAACTTCGAGAACACCGTGTTCTTCTAGCCGACCCAGTAAGTGGATCTGATTTCCAAGAAGTTCTCGAATATAATGTTCCTGAGGAAAAAGACGTTAAAGAAAGCTTCGCAAACTTTTGCAATAGTCAATTTCCACTATTTTTTTCTTTCAGATCACCAAAATATTATAATTATTCATGATTCATAAAGGAAAATTTTGCTACCAATTTTTCCAGGCGAAAAATTTTTTAGTCACTTCTTTCTCTTATTTTTAGAATAATTTTATAAAATTTTTACGCAGTTTATTTAAAGTTGCCCTAAAATTATGAGTAATGAATGAAATTTTCAATTATTTCAGTTTAATTAACAAATATACTATTAATTTTTCATAAAACAAATTATTTTTCCATAAATTTTTCTTCTGTTGCAAATCTATATTTCTGCGTTATTACTTCAGGGCAGTTGCAAAATGTCGTGCATTTCTTCGTTGAAGATTGGTTCTTATCAGCTATGCTTGGCATAATTACTGCAGTTTTATCAATTTCCATGGATGTTGCTATTGAATATTTGCAGCATTGTAAATTACTTATTCTCTTAATGATAAACATTAGGTCAAACTTATCAAATTTGCTCCACTAGCTTGTCGCATTGGGGAATATGCCAGGGAGTTTCTTGGCGAAATACAGATGAATCACCCGGACTTTTGTACAGGTTTTCTTTTGCGGAAAATCGAGCCTCAGCATCGGTGCTCCAAATTGAGCAAAAACGCACTGAGCCATAAAAGAGGAACAACTATTCAAAAATTTTCCAAAATCTTGTCATTTTCCAACTTGAACTTGAATTTGCACGCTTTTTTATTTATTTGAAATACTGGTAATAACCTTATTTTATTTTGTAAAAAAACCTTTTTTCTATTTTTATTTTATTATATATTTAATTATTTTTATATTTTTTTCAATTAAATCAACATTATTAAATCAGATAAGCAAATCAAACATAGTCCTTAGTCGTTTATAAATCCTCAAGAGCGAGTCAGAATATCTGATAATATTGAAATGAGATATCAGCGATACAAGATAAGATCTTTTGACCATAAATGGGTAACTTTTAGTAGAATAGATAACTTGATTTCTCGGTTAAAATCTGTGTTGATTAGAGAAATGTTTATGAGAACCTTAAAAGAAAGTGTATAAAATGTCATTTCGAAATTTAAAGTTAATCATTGCTAAAAATAAAGATTGGTGAAAGAGTTAATTGCAGCTTCAAGTAAATTTTGGTTTTTCCCACATTTTCTTCATGTTTTTTGCTTTTCTTCGTTGCTATGCACACAGAAATGTTTGTTTAAGCATTAAAATGATTTGATATTCTTCAATATTTCACTACAGATAATATTATAAAATCATGAGTAACGCCAATGTACATTTATCGGAAGTAGGAAACAAAAATACATTTACTGGACGATAATAGAAACATTTTCCATGGGTGTGAGAAAGGGAGATAAAAATGAGAGGAGATTATAGGATTACAATAGAGGGATGGGCAAAATATATTGCTACGCATTGGGAGTTGGAGAGCAATTATCATAGTGATGGAAGAGAAAGGAAAAGGGGAAATAGACTCCTCGACCATTTGTCCACATATTTTAAGTTAAACAATATATGTATTTTATACTTTCGGGCTGCTCACTTTACAGAGCAAGCTTATATATTTATAATATATATTATATATTTATAATATATCCAAAAAAAGAGATTTCGATGATGAAAGAAACCAAGAGTAAGTCGATTTTTTTTTCAGATCGCGTGGTATTTTATGATCGAATTCGATTGTATAACGAATATGGTGCATTAGCATTTTGGATCTTTTATATAACATTTATGACTGGAGCAGCAGCTATTTTCTGTCATCTGTTCTCTCGTCAAGCTATTGGTATATAAGAAATTTCTAAAAACATGGAGAGCTTTGATAAAGCGATTCCATAGAAAGAAGTTAAGATAATTTCATCAAAAATGAAGAAATTTCTCAAGATATTCCCTTTACTTGTGACCAAAAACTTTCTCGTTTTAATAGTATATCAATATTTTAAACAATTATTTTAATATCAATAATACTACGACAAATAATGTTAGATAATAAATGTATTAGAAATTTCAAGAAATTTAAATTTTACTCAGCTAATGAAATAAAATTTATATTTATTTTCAGGATCTGGTATTCCCGAAGTTAAAGTAATGATGCATGGCTTTGCTATGAAAAAATATTTAACGCTTAAAACGATGATCGCGAAAATGGTTGGATTAACATTAGCACTGGGTAGCGGGCTACCTGTGGGAAAAGAGGTTTTTTTTTAAATAGCGCTCACCTTTTCTGGTTAAATTCGCTCTTCTGGCTCATCGAATCAGATAAATTTTGCCAGAGAGCCACTTGGCGATAGAAATACAGGTGAGTAGCCAACATCATCTGGAAAAGAGATTATACAAATAATTTACTTTATAATAATCCCATTATTACAATAATAATGTTACAATATTTCTTACTTTTTATTTCCAGATTATTTTTGCATTATCCATGCCATATTTTTCTAAGATTTAATTAGTAATTAATGTTAGATAATAAAATTATATAAACCAGTAATAATGAATGCAGGTAAATTTTCCCTCAAGTCCAAGATTATGCATGAAAAATCAAAACCTGATAAAAAAAGGGACTGTTTATTTTCCCCCAAAAATTGTACACCAGCAGGAAAGAAAGTCAATTCAGCAAGATGGCACCAAAGAATGAGCTGTCTATCTAAGAGAATGTGCAAACATTTGAAAATGATCAAGCGAGGAAATACCATGGCAACGCGAGGCCCTCCATGGATTGCACCATAGATAGATAGCTCAGATAGCTAATATTTTGAAATCCTACCAGTGGTTGCAGAAAACTGGGCTAAAAGGCAACAGTGAGGAATTGATTATAGCATCACAGGAGCAAGCATTGCCACCAGATCCATTAAAACAAGGATTTATCTAAATTCTAGATGCAGATTATGCAAAAACGCCCTAGAAACAGTCCAATACATAATGGTAGGACGTAAAGTGCAAGCAGGAACAACATACTGGCATAACCAAGTAGCTGGCATCATCTACAGGAATATCTGCTCATTATATGGCTTAAATCCCCCCGAGACTAAATGTAAAATTCTTCAGAAAATCGTAGAGATTAATAAGGCAAAGATTCTATGAGACAAACAAATATTGGCCGATCGACTGTGGATCGTCGTAACAAACAAGAATCAGAAATCAGTAGTGGTGATAGATATACCAATATCAAGCGACAGGAACGTCAGAAAAAAATGATTATGAGAAATTAGAGAAATACCACGGGCTGAAAGAGGAAAGAAGTGTGATCTCTTAAATAAAGTGGCTTAGGAGATTCCAGGAACAACATCAGATATCTCTATCCAGAACAGTGATTTTGATTTTAATAATAAGGTTCAATAGGGTTTCGATTACATAATGCTTGGGTTTTAGGTCGACCCAGTGCGCCATTCGATTATCCTACATTCCATAACCATTTTCACCATTAAGCGATGAAATTTATTCAATGCTCACTAAATTTTTCATATTAAAACAATTTTTAGGGGCCATTTGTCCATATGGGTGCTATTGTGGCATCATTATTAACTAGAATGACGTCTGCGTGTAGATATAAAGAATTTTTTTCGAATGAAGGACGTGAAATCGAAATGTTATCTTCTGGTTGTGCTGTTGGAATAGCTTGCACATTTTCAGCACCTGCTGGAGGTAACATATCCACATCTTTAAAAGCTCAAATGTTCGCAAAAATTTCACGTTTTATGCTTTTATTGCCAAGAAAGTTTTAGCTTTTCCTCTTGAAGGTTAACATAGAGTGAATATGCCCAAATTTTTGCAAATATTATTGATAAGCTTAATATATTGGCTTTAATATATCGAAATATATATTTAATTGATTAATATATGATAGAATCGATTAATATATTAAATTGTGGCTTAAACTTGCCGTAGAAAAATTTTGTCGTTAATTTTTGAAAAGTTCCAATGACTCTCGGATACTAAGAAAATTTGTAAACATAGAAAATAGTATGGAATAGAAAATTCGACAAATCTATTTAGATGGATAAATTTTTTTAATTAGAAGTACCACTTTGGTTTGCCCCACTGACTAGTAGAATAAATCTCTTTCGCCAGTAAGTCACTTATAGATGGTGAAAACCTTTTCTAGATTTTATTTTTAGTGATAGGTTTGCCTCCATCAAAGAATGGGAATCGAACTCATGAGCTCGGTCCACCATTCTATGCAATCGAACTAATAATGAAAAAGTGTTTCAGCAGTTTTATACGGTATCGAATCGACTTCAAAATATTTTGCAGTTAAAAATTATTGGCGTGCATTTTTTGCAACAACATGTAGCGCCTTGATTTTTCGTTTTGCAAACGCAGCTATAATTCCGCCAGACATTGGTCAATTTAATTACTGAATTTCTAGTTTTTGATGAATTAATAAATTCCTGATTCCTGATTAATTCCTTATTAATTAAAAGCAGAATGAATATCGTAATACAGTGAATAATATAAAATAGTAACAAGTTTTAAACCATAATTAATTGAATTCCTATAATTATACGTTTAAAAATATGGAATGTAAGTAATTTATTGATTAAATCTTTGATTATTTCAATTTAGTGATTAATTTTTAATAAAGCAGGTAAATAGTTAGTATTTCTGGTCAAGTTAGCTGTATCGACATCAGTGCAGTTTGGAATTTTTTGCAGCAAACCACTTGATGATTGATGTACAGATGGGTCAGCAGCACCATTAAGAATTTTTAATGACTGGTTTATTTCTATTAGGGGCAGAAACCGATTTTTTCATTTAAAATATACGGAAATAAATAACATGTGAAAAAAGGATATTAAAGAGAGAAATTAAAATAAAAATCGGAGATTTTGCAAAATAAAATTTATTTGTTTGTGAATATTATCTAAAATTATTCATTTGAAAAAAGTTTATGAAATTCGTAAAAAACCAACCTTTTATGAAAATATTTCATTGTTTATAAAACTGAAAGAATCTGAGGTATTCTGAGGTGCTTTTTCTTAGCCGGTACAATAACTGCTTATTATCAAACGAATTTTCCAAATGAAGTTTTCGTTGTCGAAGAAATACCTCTTTTCGCATTTATTGGGTTAGTTTTTTTAATTGGTTGCAGTGATTATGGAAAATGAAAAGTGGAATAAGTGGGATTATCTTATGCACATATTTTTTTTGTCATGAACGGTTTGTCGAATGAAATTGTAAAATAAAATTTAAGTCGTTATAACCATTTAATGAAAGGAGCAAGTTGGCCGAGTGTTACGTTGTTTCGTTTAACACCAGATACCCTTTGACATGTGCTCTCACAAAAGTATTGCGGGTCTAACTTGTAGTCCTAACCCCCAAGTGACTTTCTGACAAAAGGATCTCGCAATCCTAGCAATCAAAAGAGGCAATCAAACCAGAATTGGTGAATAGAAAGAAAAAATGAATTGATTAGAACGCCAATTGCCTTTGCAACACATTTATATCTACCAACTTGACTATTTAATATAATGTCCGAATGTCCGAAATTTTATCAGGAATTTATTACAATTTAGTTCGAATAACAAATATTTTCTCAGTGTACTGTCTGGAACATTTGGTGCCTTTTTTGTGTTTTTACACCGGCGTATCGTTTATTTTCGAGCAAGAAATCGATGCTATCGAGCGATATTCGGACATAAGTAAGAAATGAGCTAATTTTACAAAGTACTTATTACCAAATGCTTTTTGCATTTTAGTTTTCTCAACACATTTTATTTCATTTCTGAACATTAGTAAACATTCATTATACTTGAGGTTGCTGCAAAAGTATATTTCATTCATTAATTATATTAAGTCAAGTAGATGAAAAGTAACACTGTAATAACAGTAACACTGCGCAGTAACACTGAAATTATTTTCAGCCCCATTGTGTTTACCATCTTCATGGCTGCTTTCGTTGGTTTATTAACTTATCCTGAGGGAATAAGTAAAAATTTCGCTGGTAAAGTAAGTTTCTTTCACTTTCATCATTTTTTATGATAACATTGCTTCTGAGAATTGAAATTTCTTGCTATTTTTCTTGCATAAAAATGGAAGGAATTATTCATCTGAGACAGCAAAACCTTTCCTTCTATAATTTACATAATTTTTCACATTGCTGGAAAAAATGCATGATTAATACCTACTTTTATACTTAATACTTATTTTTTTTGGTTGAAAAGAATCCCAATTTTATTTTATTAAATTTTCGTGAAAATTTTCTGGAAAGCAGATCACTTTTATACAGCTTTTATTTTTATACAGCTTACTTTCCGCGAGGCTCTTGTCGATTTCTTATACAACTGTACTTTTACTTTATCAAATATCAGCGAGCGTAGCTGTTCAATGAATTTAATGCAACACTGGGTTGGTGGAGCCGAAGGACATTTAAATCCAATTGCGACAATGACCAATTATTTTATTATTTATGTATCTTTTCTAAACCAAATTAAAATCATTAAATTGTTATTTTGAAATCATTTGATTTAATAAAGAGTTCGCTACATATTTATCAAGAATTTATTTTAATTTTCTAGTTCATTTTGGTTGCGATATGCGTCTCTCTAGAAGTACCCGCTGGAATATTTGTTCCTTCATTTGTTATTGGTGCTTGTGGTGGACGTATTATTGGTGAAATAATGGCAAAAACATATCCAAATGGTCTTCGTGGACCAAACGGGCCTCAAATATTTCCCGGTCTATATGCAGTTGTTGGTTAGTTATTGGTGAACGATTTAAATCTATTTATTTATTTTTACTTCTTTGATGCATTTTACTGATTAAAATTTTTTGCCGAATATGAAAACATAATAAATCATCATTTAAACTATTTTCGTCGAGGTGCAATAATTTACTGCTTTCCCTTTGTCATTACTAATCAGCAAAAAGGGAAAAAAAACGAGCAATGCAAAAAATCGTTCTTTGGGTGTACTGTAAATTCATTCACCATTTCTGGTTTGACTGATTTAATCGACAATTGAAAATAAAGGTAATCCATTAGAAATTGGATGACCTGGGTATACAAATGGATCAAATCCTGCGGTTATATTTCTAGCAGTTCTATTTCCAGCGAAATTTCATTCGAGTTTCGCTTCTATCTCTCATCATGAGGCGTGAATTGATTTCTTGGTGTTTAGTAGTAGCGACATAATGCTCGACTCTCCTGCGCGGTCATGGTTTGTTGCTTCTAATTTAATTTGTTCTCAATTTGTAGGAGCTGCTGCTTATACAGGATCGGTTACTCATTCGCTGTCCATAGCAGTGATTGTGTGTGAGACAACGGGACAGCTAAGTCCTTTGCTTCCTGTTCTGGTGATTATTCTAACTTTAAATCATTCGCATATATGACTGAAGGGTTTCGATAAATTTGCTAATTTTTATGTAGTATTTAAACAGGAAAAATACTGAGGTTTTTTAATTTTTATTATTTCCAGATTGCTTTGATGATTGGTAACGCTATCAGCAGCTTTTTACAACCATCAGTTTATGAAAGTATAATCAATATTAAAAACTTGCCTCATCTAGCCGATCTTCCTCCTTCCAGAATCAGGTTCGTACTGTTAGCTTTGCTCACTCATTAAATAATTTTGTATATTATATGCACAAGACAGGCAAAATCATTACTAGTCTAAATAAATAAATTAAACGAATAATATGAATCTCTAAGAAAGAACAATAAGAAAGGATAAAATTTGTACGTAAAGAAAGGCTCATCTTTCGATTCTTTTTTTTTGGGAGTTATGAATCTGTCATGAACTAAAATAAAACGCGAATGGTGCTGGAAACCCACTTCTATCCTCATTTGGCTTTCTGGTGAAAAGATTTCACTCTACTCGTCAATGACGCCAGCGTAATGGTAACACAAATGGTGACTACTCTTAAAAGAAAAAGATATCCGTAAAAATGGAAAAAGAATCAGAACGATTAACTGAATGAATTAAATTTAAAAACACATATATATGTTATATCCGTTATGTTTAGTGTACATACAGTCAAAGTTGAAAACATAATGGTATATGACGTTCATTATATCACAAGGCAAACAACATATAAGGAACTGCGTGAATTACTTGTTGCAACACCTAGTCTTCGAGCATATCCGGTAGTCACTGATGAAAGTAAGTAAATTTTGCATCAAATTCTCCAAATTAGAAATTGGAAATGGTAGTTTCTAGAGTGAGCGTTTAAAAAAGACTGTAAAAATGAGAATGATTTGAAGAGGTTGCAGAAGCGAAAATCTTGTTGGGATCAGTAGCAAGAAAATATCTTACCGCTTTATTTGTTCGAAAGATGGGGCCAGATTCAATGGTGCTTTCTAAAGACAAAAGAAGAAGAAGTAATCATGCATCTGAACTCTTCGCCTCTTTTCGAGGAGTTGCTTCAAATAGTTTTCTCACTGATCGACATATCAGTGGTAATACTCTCCTTGCTCACAGTCCTCTGCATGAAGTTCAACGTCCCAGTCAGTTATTTTCTGCTTTAATTTTAATTTGTGAGACTTTGAAATGATTTAAGATGATTTAACTAATAATTCCGATTTTTTCACCAGAAAATTCACTACTTCTAATTTTTAACAAATGGGTTTGTGCTTAGCGTATTTATTTCTACATGTTTCTTTAAGATTTTTCTTTTATTGTTGCAGATAGTCCATTTGCTCCTCTACTTCGGCGTCAAACTGATCCTGAATTGCAAGTACGTTTTTAATGAATACATGTTTCAGCTAATATTCATATGCGGAATGGTCGTGAACTTTATTTCAGCAATATCCGATTTTCACCGCTCAACAACGAATCAATGAATTGCAAAAATGCCTGGATCTTGATGACATAGCGATTGATCCCGCTCCTTTTCAATTAGTCCTTGGAACCTCTCTTTACAAGGTGCCGTTTTCATCATTAGGAAAAGCTTTATCGATATTGGAAAGAATTCATGTGTGAAGTATTCTTCAGGTGCATACTTTATTTTCACTTCTGGGCCTCAATCATGCATATGTGACAAATAGAGGAATGCTTGTAGGAGTCGTATCCATCAAAGAGGTAAAGATAAAGTATTATAAAAGTATTATAAAATAAAGTATTGTAATTTGCTAAGTTAACAAGTGGCTCTTATAATTTTTATTATCGATAAACTTCATTTTCAGATTTCTTATTATATTATATAAAATAAAGGTTGGGGAATTTACAAGTTTTGAAACTTTAATTCGAATCTTAATTATTCGACTTTCTGAAAACTTTTGCTTACTTTTTAAAAATTTGCCAAATTTAAATTTGCTAACATATCGAAAAAAGAAATGAACAATATGCGCCAAATATTGTCGAATTTTTAAATGAAATATCTGGTCGTTAGCTCATCCTAAAACCAGTGAAACTGAATATGGTTTTTTGCTGTCCTATAATCTTAATTTGCTAATGAATGATTTTTAATTTCAATTATTAATGATTCCAAACAACAGTTGAGGGAAGCCCTCGCAAATATCTACTCTCGTGGTGCAGTGCCAACTTACTGTGTTCGAAAAAATACACTTTCACTTCCGCAAACTAATGGCGATCCGTTCAAAGAACAGGTGGATGATGAAACTTCGGTGAAAATTCTCAATGCTCAACTATATAAGACAAACGATTAACCAATTTCTTTAGCTCATTCTAAAAATTGATATTCAATCTCCAATCTCTTCACAACCTACTAATCGCCTATGCAGATTGTTGCATTGTAAATTTCTTTAATCGTTTAAACAAATTCTCTTTGCCATTAAACTCTTTGACATAGCTGACCAAATGATAGCGCCAGAGCGCTGGCAGACTTAGGATAGGATGTGAAGTGCATTAGTAATGTATATAAATGATATTATTGAATTATATGCTAGCTTCTCTCTAACGATAAGTTCGGTTTTTTTTTCTTGCTTGCTGTACATTACATAATATCAAAAATAAATTTTCTATGAACCAGCTGTTGCGATTCTGAAAGAATTCCGACTTCATTATTTAGTCTATGCTTTTAATTGAAAATTTTTTTCTTGCCGTCAACAATCGAAAATATAGTAATAATTAGCAAGATAGTTGAAAATATTTTAGGTTTTTAGCCAATTCTCGAAGCAAACTTGCTTTTCCTTACACTTACTTTTTCCTTATGCTTATACTGTTTTTACCCAAGAACTTACCCTACGAGCGACACATACCATTCGAGATAATCGAAGCAAATGAATTTTTATTTGAGCAACATTTTGAGCAACATTAATTTCATGGGGAAATGAGCCACAAAACTTTTCTTCTGAAGAGAGAACGACAAAGAACGATGATAGGATGCGTAAAACAGTCCCTAATGTATTAAGAAGATTCCATCACCAGATAGGATGCCCGCATGACAAATTTAATTTTTTAAATCCAACTTATTTCTTTCAAAAACAATAATCAAATCAAAGATGATAGATCTCAGTCGAAGCAAGGTGTACTATTTCTAATTGTTAAGACTTGTTATTTTTCAAAAAATTGTTCTCATATTCATGCCAGCATATTCCACGAATTTCGCACTGAAATTTCAATTGTTTTCAATCATGAATCGTAAAGTGAATCAATAAATATGCAATTGTTATCAAAGAAAATCTGTTAACCAAATACGAAAGAAAATACAATAATATATTCTTGCCGCTAGACTTTTATTCAATACATTGTCATATACTGATATCTTGCAAATAAAAACAATAAAACAAGCAAAATGAAATAACTAGTACAAAATTAAACATAGGAGTGACCAAAAATTAACGAAAAACAATCATTATTTAAAAAAATTACTACTTAGATTACATAATGTTTTGTTAGATGACATAAACTCCAAAAATTATCGAATCAATAGATTTGTGAAAAGCGCCGCCACCACAATCGCCAAGGTAAAAAACTACAAGACATCTGAAGTCGTCGGTCAAAAATATTATAATTGCAGCGCTGCGAAATTCTTAAAACATAATCAACGGTAACTCCATTAGCCATTAAAGCAAGTCTCAAAGCAGGAGTAAGTTCCTTGATACACAAACGGGATTTTTTAATAAATGTTTCAGCAGACTAAAATAAACAAGAATTTAAAAAGACAATGAAGTGCTACTTTAATCAAATAAAAGATAACGATGCAAGAATCATGTTGTTATTAAATAAAAAAAGCATAAAAAAGGACTAACAAAACATAAATCTTTGGCCAAAGAAGGGAGAGCAGAAGCTTGCTGAAAACAAATCTGCTCAGCAGTTAAATTATAAGTTTTCAATAAATCTGCTGGTAACAAAACAATGCCTCGGGATATTAGTGGTGCAATTGTTCTGGAAATAAAAGATTCAATAAATTAGGGCAATAATTTAAAAAATAGCTATAAGATTAATAATAAATATCATATCATCAGAAAGATAGAAATATAAGGACAAAATAAAAAAAACTACAACTCAACCAAAAATGAAACATAAATGATTTATTTATGCATTTGTCTATTATTGTAGCAAAGTGGATATGTTAAAACTTACTAAAACTTAAAACTTGGGGTTATTCAAGCCTATTAAAGATTAAAATTTGTCTTTTATTTTTATCGCTTTTGGAATTGAGGCTTCGACGACTCCTAACTCCAGAGATTCGTTCTATAGCAATGCAAGAAAAATAAAAAATTCTAGGGTGGCTTATAATCATGATTTACTTTGGTCATTGACAAAGAACAATTACTAAACCGGAATTTAAAAAACTTAAATCTAAAAATACGCTGAAATTTAGATCATGCAAATTATATTGTAAATTATATTGTAAATTATAATTATATTGTAAATTTAAGAAATTTAGAAATTAATTATATATTATAAACCTTAGCAAATTGATCATTGCCATAGCCTCTCCCATTGAATTCGCTGCCTTAGCAGCAGCTTCTATTTCATTTACACCAGCAAGATAGTCCGAAAGTATTTCCATTATTAATTTTATAACAGAACCATAGGTATAAACACCATATTTGCTCACCGCTTCGATGGAATCAAAAGGTCTATCGCCAAGAGTACGCTGCCTAGCGGTAATTAATAGTCTCAACAGATTAACATTAGCTGATTTGGCAAAACAATTTAAAGCAGCAGCAACCGGTTGCCTGTAACAAACAAAAAAATTTTCCTTATCGATATTTATTTAATATTTAACACTCTTTTCCCAGAATTAGTTATAAACCGTGGGATGATTCCATCTCCATATATAGAATCAATAGCATCTTTCCAAAACTGCAAACGTGCGATTCGTGTTGTTCCGGAATTACGAAAGATTTGATCACGTACCAAAGCCACTTCAACATTGAAAGCCAATATCTTAAAAATAATTATCCATTTATTCTTCACAGACAATTTTACAGAATTATTTTCCATTTTTATTCAGGAATTATTTATAAATTTTCAATAATTTTTTTTCATTTTTAACATATCTTTATTTTCTTATTTAGTGGTGCTATACGTTATATGTATTACAATACTTTTATATAAAGGAAATTACAAGAGAAAAATGAGAGCTGAAAATTTACATGAGATTTCCATGAGCAAAAATACGAACAAGAAAAGAGAAAATACATAAAAGAAATAGAATCATAAAGTCATTAAAGAGCAAAAGAATTTTGAGTATTACTGAAATTTTATGCAAAATCACAAACCATAGATAGAGTAAAAACGACAAAAATAGCGTTCAACTAACAGAGAAAATGGCAGGTTGCATGCTAGGAGGAAATAATAACGTTGAAACGTAATTGGTGTAATCGTGCTTTCGCGTTAAGTCCATACAATATTTTACGGCCTGTTCTTTTACCTGAAAAATTATAAAGATCTTACGTTATTGTAGTCATTTTATATTATATATTAATAAATAATTTAAGAAATTTATATATTAATGGAAAGGAACTCGTATTCTTTGGCAAAATATTTATCTTTATAAATTATAGATTAAAATACTTTAGGACCAGCTGGAATCGAATATTTCTGACGATTAATCAATTTGCTCTTTCCAGAAAAATCTGAGACTTCTGAGACTTTCGATGCCTGATGTATGCAAAAGTCAAACTGCTTAGTAAAAGTTGTTGGATATAATGAAAACCCAGAATTTGACAGAAGAGGATGGAAAAAATTGAACTAAAATTAGCATTAAAAAATAAAAACTCGCTGATGGCAAGAACTGAAAAAAAATAAAAATACAACAAAAAAATACGATATATTTTAATCATATCCATTATTCGCTTTAAATCAAAAATACGCTGCCAAATAACCAAAACAAAAATTTGCATCTATCTGGTTGTAGTGTACATAATGTGAATGAAATATATTAAGAAGCTAGTTTCCTCTGACCATTTATGTCTAAGGCACATTTTATTCTTCCAGGATAAAAACTCACATCACCTTTGCTCAAATATATTTAAGCATTCGTTAAACAGCGCTGCCTACACTGGTTAGACCATGTTCTTCGCCACCTATTTCTGATGAATGCGTCAAAATCGAGAAAAACCAGATGATACAGTCTTAAGAGATTTTGAAATACAGACAACCGAGAAGTACAATATAAGATTAATATAAAAGACTTGTCTTACTCTCAAGCACAGATCGAGCGACTTGGAAACACCCTAGTAGTTAGCCATTCTAACCAGTAATGATGAGCTTTTAGAAGTGTTTAAATAAAGCTATACATTCATTAAAATATTAAAGAAATACGTTTATTATGCGTTTGTTGTCGAGTCGTCGCAATGCAACATATCGCCATCCATTATTTGCGAAAAATTGGCTGCATTCTACAAATAAAAATATGGATTATTTTCGGTACAAAAAATTTATGAGACTATAGAAAAACCAAATAAAATTTCACGAACGCAAGAAATATCACAGGAGAGTACAACAATAAAAATGAAATAGAGAAATTCCCAGCCAACTAAAAAACATCAATCTAAATAATCTAAATAATAAAATGCTTATTTATCCGGAAAAAGAAGGAAAAGAAAAGTTCCGGAAATGTGTTGAAGTGCCTATTCAATAACTTATAATTTATATAACTCAAAATTTATAAAGTTAATAATTATAAATAATTGAAATTGCATATCCTTATCTCTACAGACTTATTTTTTAATTAATAAATTTATTTTTTAATTAAAAATAAATTAATTAAACTTCGTCTGGCAATTTTCCCTAAGCAATTTTCTCTAAAATATTTTTCCATACATTTTTTAAAATATCTTTTGTTTAAATTTTCTATAGTTACGCTTTTATGTTACAGTCAAAATTTCCGTTCCAATCAAAATAGAAATTAAACATAAGCGATCCCTCAGAATCATAGGCCTAATCTCAGTTTAATTTCAGCATAAAATATAAATGATAAATAATAGCAAAAAGCCAGAGGATTCATCTTAATCCAAATCTACGTTTACGGTCAGAATTTAAGTTCCAGCTTATATTCAGTTTTATTTTTTTAGCTTAATTTCTTTTTTGCATGTTGATTAATATTATTAAAAAGGTGAATAATAATAAAAAAAACTGAATCACCGCAAAAAGAAAAATTAAACGAGGTGTTCACAGAAGGAGTATAACAGCCGAATGCATTAAAAGATAATAATAATAATTTGACAAGTAAAAACAGAAATATAAAAGTGGAAAAAAATATACTAAAGTGAAGGGATGCACAAGAGTGTATATATATATATATATATATATATAGGATAGTTTTACGCATACTATGAGAAAACAAAAATAATCGAAAAAATTGGTTTAAAATAATTTTTAAAATTTTATGTAAAAAATATTAAAAAGAAATAATTTTGAATAAAAAATAATTAACTTCGCAATACTGTTGACGGATAATGTTGAAACCTGGAGAAACAGCTTTTGCTCGGTGATGGAAAATGTAGAATGAAGGACAACTGCCCATTGTATCCCATGATTTTGTTCGATTCTGGAATTTATATATTTACAAAGATTGCATAGAATAATACATAGATACATAGAATTGTAAAGCAGTAAAAAGACTGTAAAACAAAAAACGATAAATTTGAAATAAAAAAACTGCAAAAGGAATACCTGAATATCAGACCTGATGGGTTGAAAATCACCAGTAATGTATGAAGCACCGTAAATGATTATAATGAGACTAATCAACGTTTGTACGATCAAATCAGCTGGAAGATGGGTGAATGGCTGTTCCGTTATACGTAAATAAAATCTGAGCTGTAATTCACAAATCTTTTTTTTTTTTTTGTTGAGTCCTCACCATTACTGGTTAAACTGGCTCCGCTGGCTTGGAGATAGAAATACAGGTGATTCGCCACCATTACCCAGAGTTTTGGACAGATTTATTCTTTGGGAACAGAACCTTAGTACCGACGAATTGAGCAACAACCCACTAAGCCATCCTATTCCCTTAATTCACAAACCTTTAAACTAAATTAAAATAAAAATTTAAAAATAAATTTACTTTTTTTATATTTTTTTCTCAATACCGGAAACTCAAACACCAATATTATAGATTCAATCGGAATAAATGAAGCCGTTGATTATTTTTTAACGCAGTTTGAGAAAAATTTCAAAAAATCATAAAAATATCAGAAAAGAATGAAACCAGCACGGAACCTTGGAAAACAAGAATCCTTAGCGGAAAAAAACTTACTTGAGCTGCAGAATATGCACAATGTAAAAGCGAAACAAGTCCGACGATACAAAGAACACGAACAAAGGATGAAAACGATGAATTCATTTCATATGTAAAACAACTTCTATAAAATTTTCAATCACTTCATCATCTAATGAAACCGTTGGAAAACAACCTAAAACTTTATTTTAGAAAATTATGCATAAAATATAAAACCTTACGAAAACCATGAATAAGATAGCTAATACCTAACCATTCGTAAAGAAAATAATATTCATTAAATAATATCGCATCCGCTAAATTCAAGAGCTTCAAAAAATTTAAACACTTAAAAAAAGATTCGAAATAAAAAACTAAGATTTAACTTACTAACTAAATGACAAAATAAGAATTCTTTTATTTACAGTTAACAGTATAAAACAATACAAAGAACGAATAATACCATTAATATAATACCATAGTTTGAGCTAGAGCATCATTGGACAAAATCATAATTACTCAAATTCAAAATAAGAGATTCCGAAGTAAGAGAATAAACATTCCAGTGATCGCACAGCCAAATTACATTAACTTCAGCAGGCCTTACACCATTTTATTTTTTTAAAAAAATAAAAAAGATGATGAATTTGTTATTTAGAATGAATCTGGGTGATTTAGTTTTACACGATATTTTTAATATGCTAAATTTGTTGAATAATGAATATTCGATCTATTTTTTATATAAATTTAAAATACCTTTGCAAAAGAAAAAACAATATCTACGATAAATAAAATCAAGCTGATGAAAAATAACTTTGGTTACTAAATTTAAGAATATTAATCACTGAAAAACTATTCCTAACTTCTTAGCCAAATGGCTTGGTCTAAACCAAGGATAAATTTTAATATGAAATGAAGTAACAAGAACTGATAATATATTAGGTAGGTAGGTAAATTATCAAAAAATCCATAAGATCAAAAAGTACGAAAAAAAATGGAACTGTATAAATGGTATTTTTGCTCTTATCGCAGAAACCAAGTAAATTTATATTAGATAAAAAAGAAGCCATAAGAGAAAATTGTCTTTCTTAAGAAAGAAAGAGCATAACTCAACTCAATGAAATAGTTGAGTTTTTCAAAATAGGCAGTGGAAAGGAACGAAGACATGCTCGAAGCGAAAAATTTTTAAAGAAGTTTTCCAGAAAAATGAATTTAAACTTTCTCGAAGCTGATATTTTTATTTGACATTAACTTGTCTTTTATAGCAGCAGCCTTCTGAGAAACATTTTTCGAGGATAACGATTTGAAAATGCTACGAGGTCCATACCTAAAAAAAAATCGAAAATACGCAATTTGAGACAAGTTTACCATTTCGAATCTCTAATGAACAACTAAAAATAACAAAAAATTGATAAACAACTCTAAGAAAAAAATAATATTTATTTAAAATACCTTTCTTCTAATTTTTCCAGCAAGCCAGCAACAGTTTTTTTTACTGATTTGCGAAAAGACATTAAAACAACACGTTCAATGATCGCACTAATTCTTCCATGCAAAACTGACACATACAATGACCGTTGAAGGCTAGTTTGAGAATCAAAAACTCCAGTCTGGCTGCTTACAAATTCTTCAGTCTATTAAGGAAATAATCGAAATTAACAAAAAATGTCTTTTCAGATATTTCAGCAACATCCTATATATCCATATAGTTGATGAAATTTTGATTGAATAATTGATAAATGCAAAATAAGACTAACAGGTCGATAAATACACTTTTCATGTATATTGAAAAATGAAACCCATGAAATATTTCGTGTATAAGTGGTAAGCGAACGAGTTTTACGATCAAAAATACTTTCTTCCAATGTCGGCACAATCTAACAAATTAAAAACAAGATAATATTATCCAAGATAATTATAACAATATAAATATTATTCATTTGAATTAACCGCAAATTAAATGAATAAAATCGGCAGTTAAAATTTATTATGAAAACAGTTGTTAAAAAAGACTAAAAAGAAAGAAAAAAGAAAATAAAAATAGGTAATTTAAAAATTTGTAATTTACAGTTAAAAAAAAGAAAAAAGAAAAAAAAAAGAAAAATAAAAAATAAATCAAGATAGGCTGAGTAACAACCTGTATATTATTAAGTTTTGTTAACCATCTTGGAGCGGCTTTGAGAAATGAAGCACCTTTTTTAACAATTAATTTTTTTGTCCTTATCTGATCTCCGCTAATCTAAAATTAATGTTAAAGAGATCTGATGTTGAAAACGTAAAATCTCGTAAATTAAAGAAATTTAATACTACTTTTATATAATCTGGATTATATTCGTTGAAAAAATGAACTCATTACCACTTACATTTCCGACCAATATATATCATATTATGTTCCATTATATCCTATAAACACTCTTCTCAGACAACCGTAATTTTTCAAATTAATTTTTTTTCAAATTCTTCAACTCGAAATTTCTGTTCATCGAATTTTTGAAACTTCGTTCTTGAAATTTCCTAAGCACCGTCTTTGAATTCTTTTATACCCATTTAACCCTTCCAAATTTCTTTAGCATCAAATATCATTCTATTTTCTCACCATTTCTTCGAACACCTTCATTCTGTTATGCTACCCCAATTTGGTTTGATAATTACCCTCCTTCGTTTTTTCATATTTATTTAGCAGTACCAGTCAGTACCTTCAGTCATTAACAACCAATCAATGAGTACTTCGTTCGGCTAATCAAAATAATAAAATAAAATGCAATTACGCAACATGCATTACTGGATAACTAAAGAGCCACTTCAAGAGAGCAATCAAATCGATCTTATTGGAACAATCTACCATATTTCAGTACAGGATAAGCATTTTTCAGTATAATAAAGACTATTATTCCTTTAGATAATGGGATTCAAGTAAATTAATCGACCAAAAATACTTCGTACATCGCCTCTCTCCTAATCTTTATTATAAGAGAAAACTTGAACTAATTAATATAAATCGAACTGAGTATATTAATGGCACACAATATTATAATGAAAGACCAAAATTTTAAATTTCCAAATATAATGGGATGCTTTTAAATATCATGGATGATTTATTCAATTCAATGATTATTTAATATTTTTTAAAAATAGTTTAAAAAAGGATAACTAAGCCCTTCGGCAGTTTATTCTAGTAATTAATGGTGTGAGTGAAGAAATCATTAATCCATCGCTAAGCTTTTCGCTTTCAATATTTTTGCACACAGGTTTTAATTTAGCCCATCAGATCTTGTTAGACTCAAATTTAACCTAATATTATATTTGGAATAGCCTAATTTGGCATAAATATATAGAATTATATAAATACAAATTAATTGTTGTTTAATTCGACGAATTGAGAGGGAGACTTATTCCGTAAATCCCTCCCCTTTATCTCCTCCATTATTTCTCTTTATAATGTTAATCACACTTTTTTAATTATAAACCAATTCTTTTCATTCGACACCTCATTTGTTGTTAATGCAAACACATGGCTCATGTCGCCGTGCTTGGTTGTTCTTCGAACAAAACAAGAATGAACATAACCTTTCGTTCAAGCACATCTTCACTGATTACATGCTGAGCTTTAGAATTAGGATAACGATTCCAAAATATACTTGCTACCTCTTCAAATGAATATGGCAAATCTTGTGACGGACTGTCCCAGAACCGCATAGCTATAACATTTGATAAGCATAATTCAACGACAAACATGGCTAAATATCAATATACATCTGATATTTAAAAAATATACATTTGTTTCAGCGTGTATGGCCCACTTACTGACCAAGCCAACCACAGAATAGAAAAGATGTGAAATCAAAAGACAATAAGTGATGCACCACAGAAAAGAACAGGATAAAAGAAAAACTATAGAAAAGATGAAAGAGAAATAAGGCCAAGCGCAACATCTTGTCCACATTATATGCGTGGGAAAATTTATTGAAATCACCCTTATTGTGATTACAAAATCATTAATTCTATCCTCGCAGAAAAAAATTAGATTTCTTTCTTATGTGATTACAAAATCATTAATTCTATCCTCGCAGAAAAAAATTAGATTTCTTTCTTATTTTGTCTAACTTCCTTTATTAACGAAAAAGTTCATTTTTTTAATAGCATCATTTTATATCCTATAGAGCAATATTTTCCTTTAAAAAAAAAGCGTTAGGTCAATTCTCTCTCTTTAAAGAGATTTTTTCTAAAATCTCTTTAAAAAAAATGTCAAGAAGCTTTATAATGAATACAAATTAACCAAATCGCCAAATTACCTCTCTGCATATAAAGAATACTTAAAAGTTTCCTTAGCACCATTCATAATTACTTTTCAAATAAAGAAGAGCAACTATTAAATATTAATAGAAATTCTATCTGGACTTACATCAAAAGAAAATTTACAAATCCACGTAAGCAATTAATTCTGCAACATAATGATAATGTGATCACCTCTGATATTGATATTGCAAATGTATTTAATAAGTATTTTTCTAGTGTGTTTATTGAGGATAATACTCATACTTCTTGTTTTAACGTCAATCGAATTTATTTCTCTCTGCGAGGTTGAAATAACGTTACTGGATGTTTATGATGCCTTAAATAGTCAAGCCGTCCATTTCAGCTGGCCTCGATAATATTACACAAATAATTTATAAAAAATGCGCAGACTCTCTCAGGCTTCCCCTATTTCTTATTTATAAGGATATTATGAAGTCTGCCCTTAGTCCCAGAATTTGGAAACTGTCCCATATAGTTTCCATTCATAAAAAAGGAAGCACCTATGACGCTTCTAATTACAGGCCTATTTCGTAAGATGCATTGGTAACAAAGTACTGGAAAGATTGATTTGAAACAAGCTGCTTACTTAACTTGATGCAATAATTTCATAACCTATCAGCATGACTTTTGAAAAAATCTATTTGTTCACAATTTTCCAATTGACGATGGAAAAACAATATCAGTACCTAGATTTGACCAAAGCTTTTGATACTGTTTCCAATAGGCAAGATACTGGTTACTCTACAAGCACATGGCGTTTATCGCCCTGTTTCCCTGGTTTTCAATAAATTAATAAAGAAATTGTACGAATAACGACTAATAGTAATAATAGTAATAATATGCCATTTATAAACGTAAAGCAAGTAAGCCGTAAACAATAAATACATAGTCTGCGAGTTTGAATTCTTCGAGTGCAACAACTTTGCTTTCCTTCTTACAAAAAGGGAAACAACAGAAAAAAGAACAGAAAGCAAAAGAGAAATGAAAAGTACGAAAGAAAATTAAACATAATTTTATTATTTACTGGAATAAAAACAAACTATTTTTAGATAAGGAAAATGGATTAAAGCCAAATTAATACAATATGTAATAAACAATATAATATATAATAATATATATATAATAAACAACTCAGTATTTTTAAAGCATAAAGATAATGATAAAATCAGATAATGAGAAAGTTGCATATGAAAGAAATTAAAGGCATATTTTAGATGATTTATAAATATCCATTATCTCCATTATTTAAATCTAAAGATTATAAAATAAGGATCATCCACAACCTCCAGTCTTCAACCAGAAGCCCGGGAAATTAAAGATTATGCTCAGTATCTTAGCTATTCCTGATAATACGCTGTTCTGGACAGAGATCTCTGATGTTATTCTGGTTAAGCCACTTTTCCACTTTAGGGATCAGAGTTCCAACTGTTCAACTACCACTGAAATTATTCTCTTCTTTCCACATCTTCTCTAGTTCCTGTTCCAGCCTTCTCTATTTCTCATAATCTCCTTATTTCTAATCCCGTTCTTACTGCTTGGTATTGCTATATATATCACCAGTGATGATTTCTGGTTATCTGTCATCACAATATCCGGTTGATTAGCCAATACTTGTTTGTCTTGATGAAAAGTCCCAAAGAATCTTCGCCTTCTTAATCTTTATAATTTTCTGAAGAATCCCCCACTTTTTCTCGGAAGAGTCTAAGCCATATACCGCCTGTAGAAGATTCTACTGCCTGGTTGCCTTTCAGCGTTTCTTGCATTTTACATCCTGCACGATTTGTTGAACTATTTCTGGGGTGTTTTTTGCAGAATTTGCACCAATATTTCCACTTAGTGTGGTAGATCTATCATCCTTTCAATAGATCTGATGTCTTAATGCTCGCTCATGTGCTGCTATAATCAATGTCTCAATGTCGCTTTTAGTCCAGCATTCTCCAATTGCTGATACGATTTCATAGTGTCAGCAACTTCAACTCTATCGATTGTGCAATCCATTCAGGATCCTGCTTTATCTTGATATTTCTTCTGCTTGATCCTTTTCCATTACCTGTAGATGCTTCAGACATTCTCTCAGCAGTTCTTGTTTTCGTCTTTTGCTGCCATATTCTCTGGTTTCAAGATAGTGGCTTTCACACTCACCAAGGTCCACCCGCCTTGTTTGTGCATTCTTTGGGTGTTAGACTTGGGGCGGAAATTTTCGTGCACTATGAAGAGTTTCCTGGTCTCAGCAGTCCTCCCACTTGATAGCTGGCAAGGTGTACACATTTATGGATAGGTTTTGTTCGTCTCACTGAGTTGGCTCCTCTTATCTTATCTTATTCTTCGGTGGTACTTAGATGTTGCAGTCTTCCTTGCCTTCTCATCATGACTACCATGTGACTGCGAGGTATCAAGATGTCGGACACAACCGAAGGGAAGAAATAAAATAAAATAATACCAATAAGATAAAATTCATAAAGCCTTTCAAAATTCAAAAAAAAACAAGATTTTAACAAAGGTTTCCACATCATAAGCAGTCAACAGTATGCAAATCGCATAAAATTGATTTTCTTCTTTCTTTGTTCACGAATCTGTTAGCTACTTTGTAGAGTCATCTTATTTACACATCAAAAAAATGAAAACCTTGAGAAAATTTTTTTTTTGAATAAAAATAAACTAATTTTTATGTAATTTGTGATGTTTTGGAGGAACCACCCAGATTGGCAAAGGAGAAGCGGTGTGCGTTGGATTGGCAATATCAAAAATCGCCTTCACCTTGCTTAATCAACCTTTTTTATTATTAACTATTCGCCTTGAATATATTCGCTTTTATTTCGAACTTATTAACTATTTTTCATTTATTATAGTAAACCGTATATCTTAATAAATATTTCAATCCACGGTCGCAAGAGTACACTCTTTTTTCGACACGAGGTACTAATCTTTATGTGTTGATTGCATTTCCATTCCTTCAGCCATTATTACTTTTCCTGTCTTCATTACCATCCGGCCACATTTCTCTAATCCGAATATCTTCTTCTTAGTGTCCTGGTTAATCCATGTTGAATAGATGCCCCGTTTACGTTTTGCATATAACTTAACGTCATCTGTACATACATAAATAAATGGACCAATGCCAGTATCATCCAGTACGGTAGGCCAGACAGTCACACGGCAATCACGATGATTCTGATAGTAAAAAATAATTAGAAGGAAGCACCTCAAAAATGCAACAAAGCGATGAAGGGAGAACACCAGTCACCGCTGCGTTGCGTTAATGACCCTTTTAATATGAATTAATACTTTTTAAATAAACCGAACCTCGAAGTATTTTTTGAAAAGTTCTTTTCGTAACAAAAAATCTTTACCGTCACAGATTTCTCATAAAAAGTAAATATTTGATATCGTCCATTAAAGTTATTACCGTCGCTTACCATTACTAGTGACCACCAATTGTTACTTACCACTTTATTACGAAACAAATAATCTCCCAGCAAAAGCAAACCAATCAACACTAAACAATTTTATACAAAATTTGCACCAAAGCTCCACAGACAATCCATTCAATTTAAATTGTGAAATTTAACAGCGCAATATTGTATTATATACACCAAACCACTCATTAACAGTGAAATCCAGAATGAAAGGAATAATGGGACACTTTTAGACCGAAATTGAATCATTTACATCTTTTATTACATAAACAACTAGCAATGTCAACCCAGTACCAATAATCCAGCAACAAACATGGAATCTTGTAAAATTTTAATGCGGCCAATGATGATATAATAAGCCCAAAATGCTAGAGGTGATATAATATATTCATAAGATAAAAACGCATTTCTCATCCTAGGAGTGATCAAACTTTCTATTCGTCGAACAAGCTTCGTCGATTCAACAATACCTACACATTAATGTCGCTTTTCCTTCTTCTTATTCTAACAGCTCTCATCAATACTGGCTAGGCTGGCTCCACTGTCTACAAAAGTAAAACATTTCCAAGCGGCGAAGTTATTGAAATTCTGATGCCACTATCGACAGTAATAGTAACCGTTCTTTTCTCCATCGTCTAAGTCCACATATTGCTGGTCCATCTATAGGTTCAAAATCTTTCCTGACTGTTCATTCCAGGTCTCGATCCGCTTTTGATACATTATTACAGGGTTTAGTCATCTATTACAGGGTTTAGCAAGTAAAAAAACCAGCTCCCGTATTGCACGACGAAGAACGTTCCTCTAAGCAGCGAAGACGGCAGTATAATGGTAGCATTAATGCAAATGGTATTTGAAGGAAGGTGAATGCGATCATGTGGTATGATTTTGCGTTCAGCAAAAATGTACTTTAGACATAGTAGTCAAAGGCAGATAACTTCTTAATATCCTCCACTCTCATCGGCCATGTCTCGCAGCTATATAGCA